ACATAATGTTTCTTTCTCTACATGACTATTTCTCTCTCTAAAACGTTTGCTCTATGTAACAAATCCAAATTAACAAAACCCTTACTGGACAAATAGATCATTAGCTATAGATTGTAGAGAGAGAAGAAAAAAGCCAAAAAAAATTTGCACGTTCATGTAATAGCACGGTGTATAATCCATTTAATGAACTGGGTATGCACAACTAGATTATCCTAATTCATATATTGAGGAATATATATTAGTATTCGTATATAGAAGTTACTTCCTTCTTTTTTCATTTGAGAATTCAAGACACATTTTAAGGAGGAGAATTCTCAATGCATTTATCGCAAATAAATGACATGTTTAACTAATGGTATTTTTAAGTTTTTTAATTTCTTTAGATTTGTTCGGACAGACCCAATTTCTCAACAACTAAAGCATTAATGTTTAAAAAATATTTGGGTCATCGGGTTGGATGTGGGGTCACTAGCCCAATTAATACCCAAACCGTTTATGACCCACTTCAAATGGGTCACTAGTGGGTTAATGACACATTATTAACTCACCCATTCAAAACCCGTCCAAAACCCGCCCAATTGAATGGTGGTATTGGCAGCAACAGATATGGGAGCATAACCACCACGCCCGATATAAAAGCTGAGCAGTTACATCAAAGAAGACACCTGAAGAAATCCCCAAAACCAAAGCCTTGGCTTCAGGAATTTTGCAAATTTCTCTTCGTTAAAGGTTTGCCTTTGCAGTTTATATTTTAACCTTTGTTCAAAATCACAATCCTCTTTAGTGGCTTTAGTTTTCATTAAAAAAAATTTAGGAAGTGCTTGCTTGTAACACAAAGCATTGGCGCAGTGCATGCAAAATGAGTTACCTTGCTTATCAATACTTTTATTTAACCTTTTCATTTTTCAAAATTTTTGGCTTCTTCTTAGCTGTATTTTTTACTTCTACTTTTTTTTATGGTTCAGCAATTACTGAATTCATTATTTTCTTGAGATTGGTTCAATTGAAAATTGTGAAATCCTATTCTTCAAGGCAACCTTAAGTGGACTGCTGAAGCAGAAGAAAGTTTCCAATTACTCGAGGAAAAGCTTTCTGAAGCTCTCTATTCTTGTTCCATCAGATTTTTACAAAGTTTTTGAAGTCTACTGTAATGATCAGGATCAGCATAGGAGCAGTGCTTAGCCAAGAAGAAAGACCAGTGGCATTCTTTAGCGAGAAGTTAAGTGGTGCAAGGTTGAATTACTCCATGTATGATGTGGAATTCTATGGTATTGAGCAGACACTTCACCATTGAGAACATTATTTGATTCAAAAGGTGTTTGTTTTGTATTGTGACCATATGGCCTTGAAGTACATAAATGAGTAAAATACGTTCAAAATTTTCAGCTTCTTTTTAGCTGTATTTTTTATTTTTACTTTTTTTATGGTTCATAAATTACTGAATTAATTATTTTCTTGAGATTGGTTCAATTGAAAATTGTGAAATCCTATTCTTCAAGGTAACCTTAAGTGGACTGCTGAAGCAGCAGAAAGTTTCCAATTACTTAAGGAAAGGCTTTCTGAAGCTCTCTATCCTTGTTCTATCAGATTTTGACAAAGTCTTTGAAGTCCACTGTAAAGATCAGGATCAGCATAGGAGCAGTGCTTAGCCAAGAAGAGAGACCGGTGGTATTCTTTAGCGAGAAATTAAGTGGTGCAAAGTTGAATTACTCTATGTATGATGTGGAATTCTATGGTTTTGTGCAGACACTTCACCATTGAGAACATTATTTGATTCAAATGGCTTTGTTTTGTATTGTGACCATATGGCCTTGAAGTACATAAATGGGTAACATACGCTGAACCGTCGGCATGGCAAATGGGCAGCATACTTGCAACAGTTTACTTTCACTTGGAAGCATAAGTCAGGTGTCCAGAATAAGGTGGCTGATGCTTTAAGTAGAAGATCTTATTTACTATCTATGCAAGTTGAGGTTGTGGGTTTTGACACATTCAAGGATTTGTATGTTGTTGATCCATTCTTTGGGAGGATTCACGAAGAGGTAGTGGAAGGCAAGAGGACCGACTACTGCTCGCAACCTGGTTTTCTCCTTAAAGGAACAAAATTATGCATTCCTAATTGTTCCTTGAGAGAAAATTCCACTTCAGCTAAATAATGGGGACACTTCGACGGAGACAAAACTTGTGCCTAGGTTGATGCAAAATACTCTTGGTCAATGTTAAGGAGGGATGTCCATAGGATTGTTGATCGTTGTCAAATTTGTCAGGTATAAAAAGGTAAAGCTACTAATGCTGGTTTATATATGCCTTGAACACAAAGAAGTAAGGATTCTTGTCTTAATTGTTGATAGATTTTCTAAAATGGCGCATTTCATACCATGCAGGAAAACTATGGATGCCTCTCAAATTGTTAACTTCAATAAACTGTTGGTTTACATGGTGTGCCAAAGTCCATTACTTCTGATCGAGATAGGAAGTTTATTAGCCATTTTTTGAGAACTCTTTGGAAGAAATTGGGTCTGATATTGTTAGCATATATGATACCCCGATTTATGATTTGACTTACCATAATAGCAGAGATTTGACTATGCTATAGAAGATGCTTTATGATAAGTTATGATTTGATTTTGATTTGATTTTGTTTCCTTTCTTGTAATATGAGCATGTGCTCATTTTATCTATAAATATTAAAGCTGTGAATGAGTAATTCATATCATTCAAGCCTTTACGCAATTCTCTCCTTTCTCTTCTTTTTATATATTTCTACTTGGTATCAGAGCCAACACCTTTTCACACCTTTCAGCAGCCTTGCTACTTCTGCGACAACTACCTTAGCTTGTTTGTGATATCGTGTGACGTTGCCTACACATGTTTTTCAGTGTTGCTGTTTTGTGATCGAAAACAAGTATTTTTAAGTTTTACAATTGCTTTTTCACTCTTCTAGGGTTGGTAAATTGGGATAGTTGGTTTCCAACACCTAGGACTTGGGTGGAAAAAAAATTAGTCTACAAAGAGATTCCGGATATTAAGAAGGAGGCTGTCTGCCTATATGTAAGCGGGCAGCGCTCCTTAAAAAACGTATGTATTTTGATTTTTCGGTAATGGTCTGAGGAGACATTGTTATTGTTTATGGTCTGAGGAGATCCTTTGATTTATTAACAGAATTTGTGGTGTCTTTGGAGTTTTTTATTGTCGTGTAACAGATTATGGCAGATTGAAGGTCCTCGACTGTTAATTCTCTTGGCTCGAGTTCTATGGGTGGTGGTGCCATTTTTCCCACCAACTCATCAGAAAATCCAGGACTTCAAATCAACACAGTGAAGTTGGATGATTCCAACTATTTGATTTGGGCACAGTCTACGAAGATGTTCATTGGTGGCAAAGGCAACATTGACTATATTACTGGTTCTGAGAAAGAGGCAGCTGAGTCAGAGAGGCATATCCACAGTGGTTTGCAAATAACGCAATGGTTATGTCTTGGCTAGTCAATTCGATGCAACCAAACATAGTTGTTGGCTATATGTTTATGAAAATTGCTAAGCAGATTTGGGATTCAGTTCAACACACTTATTCTCAGAGGTAGAATAATGCACGAATTTTCTAGCTGGGGCGAGATATCACCAGGATTTCTCAGGGTGACCTAACAATTTTAGGTTACACTGCCAAGCTTCGTGCTATTTGGGAGATGATGTCATATTATGATTCCTTCCACTCTTGGAAAGATCCAGATGATGCAATTTTATATGCAGGAATTGTGAAGAAGAATCGAGTGTTTCAGTTTCTTGCCGGGTTGAACGACAAGTTTGAGTATGCTCGTGTTCATTTATTGGGCTTATCTTCATTCCCTACTTTAAAGGATACATACTCCTATGTGTTGTCAGATGAGAGCCGTCGGACTCATCCATTAGGTGTTGCTTCTGTTGATCGTTCTACTATGGAAGTTCGGGCTCCCAACCTTTCAGGCACTTCACCATCCCAGTCAGTTTAGAGCACTACCACCGGTCCTCCTCTGGGAAGAGAACGTGGACGGTGTGCCTATTGCAGAAAATCAGAAGAACTACAAGCACTTGCGAAAAATCAGACTTGGGACATGGTTCCGCTACCTATTGGACGAAAGGTTGTGGGTTGTTGTTGGGTGTTTACAGTTAAGCATAATCTAGATGGGTCAGTTACTCGTTACAAGGCCCGATTGGTTGCCAAGGGTTATGCTCAGACTTATGGCATAGATTATTAGGAGACTTTTGCCCCTGCTGCCAAGATGAATACCATCCGTGTATTATTTCCGTTACTGCAATTCGATCTTGGCCTCTATTTCAGTTAGATGTCAAGAATGTCTTTCTCAATGGTGATTTGCAGGAGGAGGCATACATGGTTCCTCCTCCTGGCTTTCGTTCTCCTGCTCATTCTAGTATGGTATGTCGTCTTCGTCGTTCTCTGTATGGCCTCAAGCAGTCTCCTCGAGCTTGGTCTAATCGCTTTGGCACTGCCATGCCCAAGTTTGGTTTCCGTCAAAGTGCAGCTGATCATACCTTGTTTTTACGTCATTCAGGCGGTAAGACAGTTGTTCTCATTGTGTATGTCGATGATATTGTTCTTACCGGCAATGATACTACCGGAATTGATGAGGTTAAGAGCTATCTTGGCCGTCAGTTTGAGATTAAGGATCTTGATCACCAGTTATGACACTACGAGAAGAAAACCCTGAACCATTTCTAATAAACAATGTTTCCATCTTTCCAAGCCATGCTTTAGTAGAAGAATCATTGGTTTCTTTTTTTATCCCAAATCGTCCATCTAAATCCCGAGATACCTTGTAGATTTGCATGAAAAGACAAAAAACAATTAATTGAATGCACATATCTATAGGTGCAAAAATGCCAAGAAGAAGCTTCTTTTTTTTTTTTTTAGATAAGACAAAGAGTCAAGTAGAACTTCCCCCATATCATTGTGAAAGAACAGATCCAAGCAACATATGCACATTTTTAAAAAATAAAGTATCGGTGTTGAATAGTTATCACTATATTATCATTTTCTGCATCATTCTTAAATTTACATTTCATATGCTCTATTTTAGTTCACGTTCATTTTAAACCTTTCGACTCCAATGCCTCTGACAAAATATTTACAATATTTAGAAGATTCCTTACGGAGGGATTCGTAAAAAATAAAAGAAGACAAAACCAAAATATTTAGAAGATTCCTTACTGTTGGGAATGTCATATCTGATCTAAGGAGTTTCAAATGCATAATAAGAAGAAAACAAATGTTCTAAGGATATATACCTCTTTGTCAAAACCAGAAGGCTTCTCATGCGTAGATTTCCCTGTAAGAATATTGTAGTTGTATACAGCCCTTGTTTCTGTCGTATTAGAAGTCATGACATCCAATTGGTCATTGAGGGCAGTGTCATCCTTGAGGTCATCTGAAAAACCACAACAAAGTCAAAAAAAAAAAGAAAATAACATATCGGAGTAGGGTATCAACATTACTCGCTAAACTTCAAACATACCAATTTCCTGAGGTAAATCAGTTTGCATCCCTGAACTCTCCCATAGATTACCACAAGATGCATGATACATTCGTAATGGTCTCGTCAAGCCGCCAATCTGTGGAGGATGCAACCATGGTCCCTGTGAAGGAGCATCCATGGGGGGTACATATGGTAATGTGGGAGCAGCCGGACCAAGCGTGACAGGAGCACCAGAAATTCCTGGAGGCACATAAAATGATGTCCCAGGCGCCCACAAAGGTGCCATAGAACCACTTTCTTTTGCAGCACAATTCTGCAATCAGAAAAGGAACACGAATGGTTAGATGTTAAGGCATGGGCAGTTGAGAAATTAAGAGTCTTTATAACTTATATTGCAAAAGGGACAGCGTCTTTCCGTTGTAACAACTCTATAAACATTAATTTTGAGATATTATCAGTTTATAAACTATTTTGCTGCAACATACCTTGACATGGATGAAACACTCCTGGATTGGTCCACCATCAACATCCTCTGAGGTAGAAGAATCATCCCAAATAGCATCTTTGTAACAATCCGAAAACATAAACAATAATGAGACTTCAAAATTAGGAGTATATTTAAACTTTTTTCTTAGCATTCAATTCACAAAAATGCTGACAGTGCTAGTCCAATCTAACTTAAAATTAGAATGTACAAATCAACGTAATTTACAACAGAACTACTGCTCACAGTGTTAGTCAAATCTATCTTAAAACATGGATCAGTTTAGGCATTAAACCTAAACCGATTTGTAAACAGCCCAATAAATTTTTTCTTTTTCTTTTTCTTTTGTTGACCACAACCCAATAGACGAATTATTAATTTTATCAGCCATGAGTTCATACAGTGTTATTAAAGGCTCAAGGACTAGGAGCACCAAGGTGCTAAAGGTCTTTTGGAGCCTAGGCGCGAGCCGCACGATGAGGAGCACGCCGGAGTGAAGTGAGGCACAAAATAGAAATTTTAAACTACCATAAAAGCATTCATATCTCATAAGTCATATCAATATCCTAAAAATTAATATCAAACATAAAAAGTTAAATCCATCGACCAAATAAGCATTCAGGAAACATATATAGAGCACAAATTTGTTTTCTTGAAAGGCAAAACAGAATTTGTTTTTTTTGAAAGGCAAAACAGAGTACACAGAAAACATAAACAAAAAACCAAAACAAAACGGTCCATGAATCAAACTCTCAAGTCACATTCCTATGTAGCGGCACCATGCTAAGCAACTCCAAGAAAAGGGTCTACCGTAGCTATATCGCCAAACGCTCAAGCTATCCTCCCTTAATCGGTCCTATTCAACAACTTGAGAGGCTATGAATTTTATAGAGAATCTCCAACATCCATATTTTGCTCTCAATCAACAAGGAAAATAATGATCTCAAAGAATGCCAACCCTGACTTCCCTTGGATTGCGCACCTTGTAGCTCGCACAGTGTCACACACCCACCCACAAAAGTCGCCACAATAGCAAGTAAGTCGGTCCAACCATCATTCGAGTCCATCCCACAAACTCCATGACTTTAACTTTCCAAACATCTACCTTCCTCAAATCTCGGGAGTTTTATCACAAACGGAACACCCGGTGCACGACCTACAAGGCACCACATTCCCAACACACGACTCATATCACCAAGGTCTAGCACCACCCTTGCATCTCACATACCTCAAGCTCAACCCGTGCATCTCACTCCCCATGATCACATAACATCATGTTCTATACCTAGCATACCAAATGCTCCTCAATCCTCATATCCCACAAAACTCAGCAAGTTTCGATAGACCTAGCACATCGGCACCAAATATCCATCGTACTACACATATGCACATCATACCTCTTGACCTCTCATAGGCCACAAGTCAAGCGAACATCTCCAAACCAACATGTGATCCCACTTCTACCCTTTGTTATAGGGTTCTCGAACCCTAAGCCTTGACAAGCTACAAGTCAAACAAACAACTCCAAATCCAACACGCAGTTCAACCCCTACCCGTTGTCCTTAGGTTTTCGGACCTAAGCTCTAATACCAAGATGTCACGCCCCGAATCAAGATAACCCGATTAATGAGGAAAAGAAATAAATAAAAGGAAAGGAAAAGAATTTGAAACCGGGACCAGCAATCACACTGTGGAAGCAACCCACACCGTCAACTCCTAGAGTTAACAATAAGTATTTGCAATGAGCACCAACTTCCCCTTATTTTTAATATCCATAGAAACAGTGTCCGATCAAGTGGAAGGAGAAAAAATGGACACTATCTTACATTAACCCATTTTCACTTTCAAGTGAGAATAAAAAAAAATAATAATAAAAATAAAATAAAATAAAAAAAGATAAAATCTAGCATCAAAATGGCATCAACATCATGTCATTATTTAACATTCTCCTCACATAAGCATTTCATCAAACAACATAAAATATATACACAATGTCATTTCAATTAATTTCAAGACAACCATCACAATTAAGCATCTAATCGTGCTTATGGGGGTAGAAAGCATACATAATTACATATACATCATTTAGGACATTTTCCATGGTATTTGATAACAATAAGCTGCTCTTAAGCATGCAATAAGCAACTCTCCATACTTAGTATACCAACCCAAGTCATTTCCCCCAACTATCAAGTCCATTCATCACTAATCACCCTACATATATATATATATATACACACACATACACATATCATTATGATGTGAGTTTCCATCATTCGAAGCATGTTTTTCACAAATAAAGCACATAGATTACTTGTGAACCTAAGAACAAGAAAGTTAAAAGAAAAGCTAGAAATTCCCAAATCTCACCTGAACCAACTTCTTCAAAATGAAAGATCGAGTCTTTGGAGGAGAGAGTTGATATGATATATGTGGTTAGATTCGTCATCTCTCCTCTCATTTAGTCAACCTATTTTGGCTTAATTACACCATACCCTTAACCTTCTCTTTTTAGGCTTTGATCTCGAAAAAAAAAAAAAAAAAATTGAAATGATAACATTAATTATGAAAGAAAAAAAATATAGTAATAATCTGTATTGTGTTCTCTTCTTGAGATGTGTCACGATACTTCTTTGACTTGGGTGCCTCGTGAAGCCAATGGTGTAGCTCATTTGTTGAGCAAATCGGCTCTTGTAGCCAGATGTTGTGATTTTGAGTGGATTGTCTGGCCCGGTGGCTGTTAAACGCTGCCCTCTGATTGTATTGCTCCGTTTTCTTAATGCATTAGTTTTTTTTCCGTTAAATAATAATAATAATCATCATCTGTACTGAGTTCGGATAAATTATGAAAGAAAATTAGACAAGAGAAAAGAAAAAATAATAACTAAATTACTATTTTACCCTTTTATTTATATTAGAAAACAAAACACATATATAATCATTAACCTGGTAGCAAGTGGGAAAAAAAATAAGTTTCTAGGTTTTTTCATGTCAGGTGCTTCAGTCACTTTCAAGAGAGCAACCTCCAAGAATTATAAAGGTAATTAGAGAATATACAAATTTAACTTAAAAATGTTCTAGTTCCACCAGAATGCACGAAGGGTATATATTGTATACAATTGCATAATTTGAATTAAAAGGAAGAATAAATAAATAGATAAATGGTTTCTAAGTATGTCAAAAAATAGGTTTTAGATTTGGATAAAGAAAAGAGAAGAAGAGAAAAATCGCATTGAAATTCATATTTGCTTGGTTTTTTTTTTTTTTTTTCATATGAAAGATAAAAGAAACATTAAGATATTAAGGGAAAAAAATTAAGAAAAGAAAAGACTTTTTATATGAGATAAAAAGAACCTGTATATTTATATTTTCATATATGAAGTAATTCGGTATTTTCAAATACAAATTGCTTCCAAAAGTAATTTATATAGAAAATTGTGATAAAATAGCTTCCATATTACTATACTGTTATCACATCTCATTGAATAAGTAGTAATATAGTTAATAAAGTCAACTTGCTATCTACAAATAACTCCTCTGAAGTTGACTACAAATTCAAACTGGCTGAAGAGCATAATCAAAGCAGCTATATTATGATTTGATAAATTTAGAGGAAAAAAAATTGTTGGAGCAGTGACTGGACTTGGAGAAGAGGAGACAGACTCCGGATCTGGAGAAGAGAATGTTGTGCCTTCTTTGGGCTGCGAATGAATGGAACGTAAACCCTACACAAGTATTATAATATAGGGACAAAAATGGCATAACAACAAATTTAGTCTTTTAATTGTTAAGGATAATTTTGGTATTATGAATATATTACTTAAATCCTTTTTCTTTCTTTTCAAATCTTCTCATTTTAGGAAAAACGTGATATAAAGAATTTGAAAGAATAACTATCCCTCCAAATCCTTTCTTTTTTCTCAATCCAAACACAAATCACAATATCCTTTCTTTTCTTTTCTCTACAAAGCCCTCCAAATCATTCAATTCAAACGGACAAGTAGGAAATTTACCTAATGACCTCATACCACTATACATGAATCAATTTGGTCCCTCCCAACAATTCCCAAATCTCATGGGACAAACTCAAAAAAATCAAAATAAATATTGGCAATTATCATGTGAAGCACCAAGGGATTGAGAAAAGAAATTTACGATCTTCATATCACAAACAATTCAAATCCAATGTTCACAATACTAGTTTAATCTAACTTAAAAGGAAATGTATAAATTAATAAAGAGTACTGATACTCACACCGAACATTCGTAGTGAATTGCTTAACTGAATAATTTTTAATTGACTATTTATACCAAATATAATTAAGTAAAGGTTTCACTTCCTTATTTGTTGTATAATTGACCAATTAAAAGAGTTTAAAAGAGTAGGTCTAACAATTCACTTCAATTATTCCATACAATAATCATTTTCCATTAACAAAATATAAAATTTGTGTGTAAGGGAGAAATTACCTGGCCCCTTCCAACAGCGAAGTTACGCATAGTGTTGTTATCTCTCTCCAACTTACTAATTTGACCCTCATCACTTTGTGAATGTTGATTACCATCGTGACGATCACTCTCTGAATTTGAATTTTGATTTAGACTGTGCTGATCACTCTCTGAATGTTGACTATTTCTTTGGTTCTGTTAATTTTGACCACCCTCAACTTTGCAAGCTTCACATTCAAAGGTAATTGACCCAAACATATTAAATGTCCATGGTATACCTCTTTATTCAATTAACTTCACAAGAGGAGTATTACCACGGTGACATAAGATCCGATAACTTTTATTTATTCTATCCATAATCATAATAGGAAATTGCCAATACCAATGACTGGAGTCACGTACATTGAGGTTGGCCATTTTACCCTTTCAGTAAATCTCATTGCTAAGATTATACTATGATTAAACTCAACGAGACCTTGACATGCAAAACGATACAGTTTTCCTAAAACAGTGAAATTGAATGTAACCATACCGACTATTATGCTATAAAACCTGATTTTCTCTGCTTGATTGTTAAACATTACAAGAAAAATTGATCCAATGTACTCGTTCACACAAACAGCGCAACTCAGTAAGAAATTCATGATGTTTTTTTTTTTCTTCTTTTCTTTTCAATAGCTCAATTTGAAATTTTGGGTTTCAAGATCATCCAAAAAATAATAATTTATAAAGTTATCGCCGGTAAGTTTTTTCCCGGCAGTTTACCGGGTTATAATAATAATGATTTCATTTGTTCTTCCAATTATCGAATTGGTTTTGTTTTTTTTTTTTTTTTTTTTTTTTTTTTTTTTTTTTTTTTATGTCAATTGGAAAAATTGGGTTGAATAAAATTTGGGGTTTCAAGATTTTGAAAATTGCAGGAACTTTTTCCGGCTGTGTAGTGTGTGATTAATAATTAATGACGATAGAATACTCTGCATCACCGGTGGGTTTTGTTACAAAACCGACTAATACTCACAGCATTTTTCCCATCAGTTAGTGGTTTAAATTTACGTGGCATTTAACCGCCTGTGGTGGTTTTTCTTATACTTTTAGTGGTGAGCACGTTGTATTAAGTCTAACCCATGGAAATCATTTAAAATAGTACTCTAGTTGTTTCTATTATTCCGATCACAATTTCATAATTAGCTTGCAAAATCCCCGCCGGCAGTGATGGGTGATGGTTATAATCGCCGGCGGTGGGGTTTATCTTATACATTTAGCGGTAAGCACGTTGTTTAAGTCTAAACCATCGAAATCATTTAAAACAATAATACTCTAGTTGTTTCTATTATTCCGATCACAATTTCATAATTAGCTTGCAAAATCACATAACCACCCAAAGGTTGATTCAGAGTATTTAAATTTGAAGTAAAACAGTCATCCACAGTACATTTTTTTTTTTTTTTTTTTTTTTTTTTTTTTTTTTTTTTTTTTTTATATATCTATCAAGTCTCATCATATTCTCCATCATTGAATTATCATCCTCATTCCTCAAGTTGCTCTGCAACTTGCTAAGCTCACCTTTACGGTGAGAAATTCCGATGTTACTTAACCAAAAGGCGTCTCAGAAAGCGGTGTTCCTTGTTCAGGTAATGATGCAGCAGCAGCTTATCAGTGACGTTGGGTGGGTGGTTTCAGCTTAACAAAAGTTGAACTCTTAACAAATTTTACTTATCAGGGGAGTGCGGGAAAGAAACCCGCGGGGAGCCTTTGATTTGACAGGTTTCCTTTTTGTGGGCGTGGAGGAGGATGCTACCCACGTAATTGCGAATGTCCGATTGACAAATGACACAGTATTGAATTCGGACTAATATTAAGGTTCACGTGAGTACGATTCGTACATTCGCAAATATAAACCAACTGAACTAGTCGGTTATATAACATTATAACAGTATCGGATCTTTGAAAATTAGTTATGTTCGAAAAACCACAATCACAACACCCAAGGGACTCTTGTGACAGGGCGAGTAAAGTCACTCGGTAGTACTCCTAGGGTATACTGAGTTTTTATATATATATATATATTTGTAATTTATGTGCAATTAATATTTGAGCTTGATTGCTAAGACTTATAAATAACTACATTAGTTGTAATTGATTATTTAATCAGAGAAGTTTGTACAGAAGTAACGCCTAAAAGGTCAAACATTTGAGACATGAATCTGCTGCAGCTATTATACACAACAGCAAAGCAAGTTTCACTGTCACTTGGCAAAAAAAGGACCCACCAATGCCCACAACATTATGAAAGTCCCAAGAACAAAACAGAAACATAAATAAAATACACACATTTCATCTATATTAACCCATCTACCTTCAACCACTACCTTCAGATTTTCTCAAGGACTATAACTTCAATTCACAACAAAACCACCACAACCCACACACACACTTGGATGCACACTACACAGGCCATGAAGGAGCATGCTGCAAATCTCATTAAAATGTGGTTGAAATGCTTCTATATTACAACTAATATGAAAAAATAATAATAATAATAAAAAAAAATAACTGCTCTCACGAAAAAAAGAGGGCAGTTTGGAATAAAGATTCACAAAGTTATCTGAGCGAGACCACAAAGGGTTCAAGAGCATCTGCTTCCTATACACACATCAAAACCGCAGATAATGAGATTTTGCTGTATCCACAGCCCCAGCCCACAAGAGACAGGCCTACTGACCATTCCCAGGTCCAGCTTCCTCAGGAGCAGGACTACGATCGCCACTCCAACCACCAGGAGCAGGACTACGCTCGCCACCCCAACCACCAGAAGCAGGACTACGCTCGCCACCCCAACCACCAGGAGCAGGACTACGCTCGCCATTCCAACCAGGAGCAGGACTACGCTCTTTATTCCAACCAGGAGCAGGACGAGGCCGTCTGAAGTACTTCGAGTTGAAAGATTCGGCCTTGTCAGGATATTTTCCACTGATGAAATTTTCAAGACATTTGCGATATGAAAAATCCTCTTTGTGACCATCAGTAGATACAATGTACAAGCACCTGCTATCCTGGAAGCTGCTGTGCTTGTTAACCTGTCAAATCAAAAACGAACGGGAAATGTTCTCAAGATAACATGTAAAATAAATAGGTGGACATCATACAATGATAATCTAGTTAACAGATAAAATCGAAATCAAGCATCCTAATGAATGGTCAGATAACCAAATATGGTGCACATCCTGCAGAGTACAGACAGAAACCCTCCAGAGTCCACGCTATAACAGCTATCCAATTTAGCTAGATATAAAAAGAAATATGAACACTAATATGGATATAGTCAAACACTCAATAATATGGATATTGTCAATGATTCTCTTATGTTTAACTCTTATTAGATTTTAATCAAGATAATTGTAGAGTTTACAGTTAAATGGTGGATTTTATAAGGAACCAGTGTTGCCGAATCAGACAGCAGCAGTGAGTTTTAAGCCAGATTCAGCCTCATCAGTACTAATAAGGAACAAATTGATTCAACAATTGATATACCTTCACAACAATGAGGCTAAAGATTAGGCATATCCCCCCAAGTTAGGGGATTGAAAGACGATATAGCCCCATCACCTATTCTACCTCTTTGAAGAGGACAATCATCTTGACCCGTGGTTGGATGGAGGGAGGAAAACCAGTACTTTCAGTGAGAAAGCTTATTTGGATTAAGGATGTGGAAGGGGTGAGATGCATGCAGGAGGTGACTCTTCTTCTTGTGCCTGTGATGGTGATGACGTAAGTTCCTCCAGTCTACCAGTGAGAGAGGTAGTAATGATGATAGGGCTGGAGGAGGATGATATAATATTATCGTCATGATTATGTGCCTTCAGCTGTGCAGCATGAACGGAGCACTACACGTGTGATTAATCTGTCCATCAGGTTGCCTACTATACAAGGAGGAGAAGAAGCATGACCTAGTACTAGAACTGCTACATATTCTACAAGGAAACAGAGAATACGAGACTGTCGTGATGACTGGTTGTCTTTTGTCATGCGTAGCTTTTGGACTTTGGCATTCATCAGATTCTTGTGATAGCACTGACAAGCTACTATAGTAGCCACAACCTCTTGGTATGCTTATGGTTATGGCTTATACACTCAAGTGCCTCCTCAGGCTTAGATGCCTTGTGGGTGTGGGTAGAGGTATAGCATCAGCACAGATCATTCTAGTAGCTCTACAAGATATCCTATATCCTCCTCAACAGTATGGCTAACACCATCATTACCCTCAGAGTTATCGCTATCCCTCAGGCCAAGATCCTCCACGTCACTCATTTTGGTGGTGATCCAATCCAGCACTCCACTTTAGGAATCACTTTAGCTCTCCACTTTAGTATCATTACATGATCTGACATAAACGTAACATAGAGTTGAATACTAATATGCCTTGTGTCACGGATTTTCATTTATTTCATGTCCACATCTATTTTTACTCATTACTTTAATAAAAAGTATAAATTACCAAGTCTTTAATAAGAATCCATGTATAGGTCAATTACTCTTGTTAAATAATCTTCAAAATTCAAAAAATAAAAATAAAATAAGACCAATACTATTCATTAAAAACCCATATTTATTGGATTATGTTGTAAATGGCTGTGAATCGGTGCGTTTTGGGCCCAATGTGCAAGAAAAAGAAAAAATCATTAACACGATAATTGATTTTGTTATATTATGCCAACATGGCCCTGCATCTGTTACACCACAACCGTGTAACTACGAACAAAACTTGGGACTCACTGGCACAAAATAAGTTTAATTTCATTAGCCTAAAAGGATTGAACTAATAGCAGCTTTGTTTCTGATTAGCATTATCTAATGTTTAAACGTAATAAGCTTAAGTTGATCAAAACAAACAAATTTGTTTATCTAGACAATCTTAGAAACATGCCTCTGAACAATATTAAATAAGATTACTATGAGGTCAGGTTATGTAGAAATAGAAAAATATATATATATAAATAAATTTTATCTAACTTGACAAGAACAGCGTCCACTTCCATACCATGACATAATCGATTCCAGCTCCCATCTTTACTGCCTTATCGGGATGGTAACTGAATACATTATCAAGAATGTACGACTGATCATCAGGAGGTAAAGGATCCCCGTCATTGTACCTTCAAACAGTTATTTTATCAGACTCGCTTCATAATTTATATTTTTTTTTCACTAATGGAAAACATCAAATCAGTGCAGAGGCTTTGCAATGTTTAACAAATTTCCAAAAAAGAAGAGCAGAAAAAAAAAATGTCTGGAAATATATAATGGTACTGTTTCAATTGCCAACATCAGCATCTAGCTCCAAAATGCCAACATTGCTGCTTAAAAAGTAATACATGTTTTCTATATGTAGAGGCATTACTAGTAATTTGTCAAAATGTAATCCAATGTTTGGGAACTTGGGCATGATGTACAATGAGAAGGATAACTGAAAGGGGATATTCTCCAAAATGTGGTGCTCCCTATTCATAAAAAATGGGACAGGGAACAGTATGAAGAGGTCCTTAATTACCCTTAAGTTATATTATCATTCTCCATCATGTGCTGCTCCCTATTCATGAAAAATGGGAAAGGGACAGTATGAAGAGGTCCTTAATCATCCTTAAGTCATATGATCATTTCTCAATCATGTTATTCTGGATATTCTAAATTTAACAAGCATGAAAATCATTAGTTAACAAGCAGAAATCAGTAGAAGTTATTACCCAGGCTGATGCATTATTCTTCTGATGGACAGCATAATAGGTTCAACATCCAAGAGAACATCTTGTTCCTCTGATGTGAACATATCCAGCCTCTGTCTTGTTGCAGTTAAAGTTCCACTTGCAATGGAATCATCATTCAACCCTCCAACTGACTTTGCTGGGCCTTTTCTCTTGTTTTTCCAATCTCCACCACTAGAGGAACCCCAATTACGTGAATTTTCAGTGGGATCTCTCTTGAAAGCGTTACGTTTCTGTGTACCCCACTGGGACTGTACATCCCTTTCATTCGAACCACTGACCTTTGAAGAACCCCAACAGCCTGTACTAGACGATTGATACGAGGGTTCCTCTGTTGCATTTTGACTGGAACCCCATAAATTGACAGGTGATTCTTTGTGCCAACCTGTGTCAGATTGTAATCCAACTTTTCCCCAGCCTTCATCATTCGAAGAATCCCTAGCAACAGAAGTCTTTGACAGGGTATCTAGAGTTTGAGGTTGATCTTCAGTTGGAACTCCCGCAGCTGAAGAAATTTGATCGGCAGAATGGTCAACAAGAGGTATGTCATTCTTCTTATTCCAGTTAGTTTCATCAGCTGCAATCTTTTTTCCCCAAGGAGCCGATGGCCCTGTCTGAATAAGCTTTTTACCAGAATCTATTGCACCCCAACCAGTAGAATTATCTTCAGAGCGCTTTTTACCAGATTCTATTGTACCCCAACCAGTAGAATTATCTGTTTGACCATTCTTCTTATTCCAGCCAGTTTCATCAGCTGCAATCTTTTTTCCCCAAGCAGCCGATGGCCCTGACTGACTAAGCTTTTCAACAGAACCCACTGCACCCCAACCAGTAGAATTATCTTCAGAGAGCTTTTCACCAGAATTTACTGCAGCCCAACCAGTAGAATTCTCTGGTTGACCATTCTTCTTATTCCAGCCAGTTTCATCAGCTGCGATCTTTTTTCCCCAAGCAGCCGATGGCCCTGACTGATTAAGCTTTTCAACAGAACCCACTGCACCCCAACCAGTAGAATTATCTTCAGAGAGCTTTTCACCAGAATTTACTGCAGCCCAACCAGTAGAATTCTCTGGTTGACCATTCTTCTTGTTCCAGCCAGTTTCTTCAGCTGAGACCTTTTTTCCCCAAGCAGCCGATGGCCCTGACTGATTAAGCTTTTCAACAGAACCCACCGCACCCCAACCAGTAGAATTATCTTCAGAGAGCTTTTCACCAGAATTTACTGCAGCCCAACCAGTAGAATTCTCTGGTTGACCATTCTTCTTATTCCAGCCAGTTTCTTCAGCTGCGATCTTTTTTCCCCAAGCAGCCGATTGCCCTGACTGATTAAGCGTTTCACCAGAATCTACTGTACCCCAACCAGCAGAATTGTCTTCAAAGCTAGGATTATCTTCAAAGATAGGCTTATCGAAACTGGAGTTATGATCTGGAGAAAAGCCCGACTCCATATTTTCATATTCAAGTTCAAAATTATCGATTTCCCCACCAAGACAAGCGCTGTTTAGCTCTTCATTTGTACTGCTTCTCACCAAATTAAGGAAGTTATAAACATCACTTTCATCTTGTTGATTCAAACCAACCTAGCCAAAAGGAAAACAAATTATTAAACTGATATACAAGGAAAATAAAGCACCCCAATGGTCAAAGATTAAATATTACTTGCAATAATCTCTAGACAAAAAAAATGACATCAACTATCCAAAGAGTATAAAATAAAGCCAAACAAATAAAACAGGGAAAAAGTACAAAATACCTCTCGTGTGTCCCAAAGAACATCAAATGAGTTTCCGGTACCTACAGCCACATGTTTGCCCCAGGAACAAGATGCAACAATGCTAGACAAAGAGTCCACGTGGCATTTTTCAGCCGCTCTTTCAAAGCATTTCTTTGGGGTCTGCAGACATAATAAAGACATAAATGTATATATTCAAATGCAAAACACAGAACACAGATACATCAGATATTTCACAGCACAATAGAACAAGGTAAAATTCCTTACAAACAATGTTGCTTCTGTGAATGGTATTTGGACATTTAGGCTCCGAGATAACGCTTTTATACCTCCTGCATTGAAACCAATTAGGTTGCCAGCACATGTCATACTGTTTGCCAATAGAATAAGATGATCTTTAAGGATTCCTTTGGCAACCATTGACACTGATGTAGAGAGGCGCTGTAAATAAGCCAAAAGGTTAAGGCTTCTCAGAATATTAAAGGATATGGGACTATAGATAACAAATTACAAAATTCCATCTCACTGTATTTAGAACCAATTTTGTTCTGGCAAGTAAAAGAGCAACATCAATTTAGAAAATGTACAGAATGTTCACAAAAGGAATGGACAACCTTGAATCAAGACTTCCAAGAAAAACAAACATAACCCTCACCACATAATTTTCATATTTTATAAGCTAAAACTATACAAGGGCGATGGTGGAGACATATGGCAGGCTAAGCATAAGCCAAGTTAATAAGAGCATGACATGAAGGCATTCAACAATGGCAATGAAAAAGACTAAAGCAGAACAACAATTTAGAGTGAAGACAATGGTGTTGGAGCAGGCATCCATGAAAAATCACTCACAAACAGAAAATTATCCAACCTCGGTATAAAGAGAGGCTTGATACCATAACTTTAAATTCCACATAGGCAATGACGGCTCACGTTTGGCACAAAACTAAACCCCACTAACTACAAAACTAGTGCACATGAAACGTTGAGTAATGATAACAGGAATATGTAAGGTAATTAGGGGTGGCAATTTAAGCCCAAACCCATTAAACCGCCCAAGCCCTCCCACTAAAATTAAATCATTTGGGCACCCAAATTTAAGTGAGTGGGCCAATAATGGGTAAAAAGTGGGTACCCATTCAATTCAAGGGTTAATGATGGATTAAGAGTGGGTACCCATCTTAACCCGCACAAACTCTTTTCTCTCTCCTCAGTTTTCTCTCTTTCCTTTTTTTTCTCTCTCCTCTGTTTTCTCTTCTCTTCCCCCTTTTTCTCTCTCCTTCGTTTCTCTCTCTTCCCCCCTCCGCTTTCTCTCTCCTCTCTCTCTCCCTTCTCTGTTTTCTAACTCTTCACCTTTTTTTCTCTCTGTTCCCTCTCCTCCATTCTCTCTCCACACTAATTGATCCCTTGAAATGCTACATGCTTATATAATTTTCAAGTTACTCCCCACTTTAATATTTCTCTCTCTACATAATGCTTCTTTCTCTACATGACTCTCTCTCTAAAACTTTTGCTCTGTATAACAAATCCAAATTAACAAAACCCCTTCTGGACAAATATATCATTAGCTGTAGATTTTAGAGAGAGAAGAAAAGAGCCAAAAAAAAATTTGCACGTAGTGTAATAGCAAGGTGTATAATCCATTTAATGAACTGGGTATGCACAACTAGATTATCCTAATTCCATATTAAGAGTGTGCAAGACTAATTAAGGAATATTATTTCCCATATATATTCCATAACAGATCCTGTTTTTAGGCATATTAACGCCCATTTATATTTTCGCCAAAAAAAAATTAATTCATTTTTATTACATTTTCCGAACTTATGAAACTGTGTGATTTTATTCTTTTTTATGTTAAAACTGTTCATTTCCATATTTTTTTCCCAAATAGGATAGATTCTCTAAATTTATGTGTTAGAAATTGAAAATTACCTTTTACCAAATCAGCACATGTATGATATATCCATATACTGAGGAATATATATTATTATTTGTATATAGAAGTTGCTTCCTTCTTTTTTCATTTGAGAATTCAAAACACATTTTGAGGAGAATTCTCAATGCATTTATTGCAAATAAATCAATATATATATATATATATATATATATATGGATTATATGATTGCAAACTTTTGACATGTTTAACTAAAGGTATTTTTAAGTTTTTTTATTTGGACGGACCCAATCTCTCAACAACTAAAGCATTAGTGTTTAAAAAATATTTGGGTCATCGGGTTGGATGTGGACTCACTAGCCCAATTAAAACCCAAACTGTTTATGACCCACTTCAAATGGATCACTAGTGGGATAATGACCCATTATTAACTCACCCATTCATAACCCGCCCAATTGCCACCCCTAAAGGTAATGGTGGCATTGGCAGCAACAGATATGGGCGCATAACCACCACGCCCGATATAAAAGCTGAGCAGTTACATCAAAGAAGACACCTGAAGAAACCCCCAAAACCAAAGCCTCGGCTCCAGGAATTTTGCAAATTTCTCTTCGTTAAAGGTTTGCCTTTGCAGTTTATATTTGAACCTTTGTTCAGAATCACAGTCCTCTTTAGTGCCTTTAGTTTTCATTAAAAAAATATAGGAAGTGTTTGCTTGTACCTCAGAGCATCGGTGCAGTGCATGCAAAATGAGTTCCCTTGCTTATCAATACTTTTATTAACCTTTTCATATTTCAAATTTTTCGGCTTCTTTTTAGCTGTATTTTTTACTTTTTACTTTTTTTATGGTTCAGGAATTACTAAATTCATTATTTTCTTGAGATCAGTTCAATTGAAAGTGGAGAAATCATATTCTTCAAGGCAACCTTAAGTGGACTACGGAAGCAGAAGAAAGTTCCCAATTACTTCAGGAAAAGCTTACTGAAGCTCTCTATCCTTGTTCTACCAGATTTTGACAAAGTCTTTGAAGTCCACTGTAATGATCAGGATCAGCATAGGAGCAGTGCTTAGCCAAGAAGAGAGACCAGTGGCATTCTTTAGCGAGAAGTTAAGTGGTGCAAGGTTGAATTACTCTATGTATGATGTTATGGAATTGTGCAGACACTTCACCATTGACAACATTATTTGATTCAAAAGGCGTTTGTTTTGTATTGTGACCATATGGCCTTGAAGTACATAAATGGGTAACATACGTTTTACTTATCAAAAAATAAATAAATGGGTAACATGCGTTCAAATTTTTCGGCTTCTTTTTAGCTGTATTTTTTTTTTTACTTTTTTTATGGTTCAGAAATTACTGAATTCATTATTTTCTTGAAATTGGTTCAACTGAAAATTGTGAAATCCTATTCTTCAAGGCAACCTTAAGTGGACTGCTGAAGCAGCAGAAAGTTTCCAATTACCTGAGGAAAGGCTTTCTGAAGCTCTCTATCCTTGTTCTATCAGATTTTGACAAAGTCTTTGAAGTCCACTGTAATGATAAGGATCAGCATAGGAGCAGTGCTTAGCCAAGAAGAGAGACCGGTGGCATTCTTTAGCAAGAAGTTAAGTGGTGCAAGGTTGAATTACTCTATGAATGATGTGGAATTCTATGGTTTTGTGCAGACACTTCACCATTGAGAACATTATTCGATTCAAAAGGCGTTTGTTTTGTATTTTGACCATATGACCTTGAAGTACATAAATGGGTAACATACATTGAACTGTCGGCGTGGCAAATGGGCAGCATACTTGCAACAGTTTACTTTCACTTGGAAGCATAAGTCAAGTGTCCAGAATAAGGTGGCTGATGCTTTAAGTCGAAAATCTCATTTACTATCTATGCAAGCTGAGGTTGTGGGTTTTGACACGTTCAAGGATTTGTATGTTGTTGATCCATTCTTTGGGAGGATTCATGAAGAGGTAGTGGAAGGCAAGAGGACCGACTACTGCTCGCAACCTGGTTTTCTCCTTAAAGGAACAAAACTATGCATTCCTAATTGTTCCTTGAGAGAAAATTCCACTTCAGCTACATAATGGGGACACTTCGACAGAGACAAAACTTATTCCTAGGTTGATGGAAAATACCCTTGACCAATGTTAAGAAGGGATGTCCATAGGATTGTTGATCGTTGTCAAATTTGTCAGGTGTAAAAAGGTGGATCTACTAATGCTGGTTTTTATATGCCTCGAACACAAAGAAGTAAGGATTCTTGTCTTAATTATTGATAGATTTTCTAAAATGGCGCATTTCATACCATGCAGGAAAACTATGGATGCCTCTCAAATTGTTAACTTGTACTTCAATAAATTGTTGGTTTACACGGTGTGCCAAAGTCCATTACTTCTGATTGAGATAGGAAGTTTATTAGCCATTTTTTGGAGAACTCTTTGGAAGAAATTGGGGTCTGATATGAATTTCAGTTCAGCCTATCATCCTCAAACCTATGGGCAGACCGAAGTTGTCAACAAGAGTTTGGGAAATCTGATTCGAAGTCACATTGGAATAATTTAAAATAGTGGGATCAAGTTCTCTCTCATGTATAATTTGCTTTTAATAGGTCCACAAATCGAATAACTAAGACAAGTCCTTTTGAGATTGTTTATGGACAGAATCCAAACAATGTTTTAGATCTGGTTCCACTTCTAATAATGGGTCGTTTGAGTTCTAAAGCTGAAGAATTGATAGACCAAATCAAAGAAATTCACAATGAGGTGCGGTAGCAAATTGAGGATCACAATCAAAAGTATAAAGAACGTGTCAACAAGGGTAGAAGGCGTGTAATCATTGATATGGGAGATTATTATTGGGCTATTTTGACTAGAGATCGATATCCGACTAGCGAGTACAACAAGCTAAGTGCAAGAAAGATTGGACCGAGTGAAGTCCTTGAAAGAATTAACGACAATGCATACAGTTTGAAGCTTCCCAGCCACATCAAGACATCCGATGTTTTCAACGTTTGTCATTTTATTCCTTATCAAGGTGACTCTTCAAGCGAGAATGATGCTAGCTAAGTTGGGGTCAAGTTTTCTATCACCCGGAGAGACTGATGCAGAGCAAGTGGAAGAGCACCATCTTCAAACAGTTGAATATCCAAGAAAGACTAGACTGACTTTGCATTAATAGGAGCAGCAGATGATGTGAACAGTTCCTGTGATTGTTTATGGGTCTTAAGTCAGTTATATAACTCTTAAATATGTGCCTTAAGCTCTAGTTATGATATTTTTGTCATTCTGATTCTATTTTGCAAGTCATTTGCCTTTTAAGTGAGTCATGTGACCACTTCAACGAACGTTTTGTCATTTTAAGCGTCTTTATTCTGCTAGACAAAATGCTCTCACTTAGAATATATTTATATGAAGGGTTAAGATTGAATCTTTGCAAGGGCACCCCTTGTGGCTTATAAAAGGGTTGTTCCAAATTGTATTCAGGAGCTTTTTTGTATTCTCAATATATTCAGCCTGCTATAGCAACTTTGTATCTCTCCCTTTCTTCTGGGATTGAGTTGTGGGTGTTTAAGCTACTCTCTAGCTCTTTGTTTTCCCTTATAGATTCTCTTTTTCTTTCATAAGCTGATTGCATTGATAGCTTACCTCATTTGAGCTCCAACCACTCTTCTCCCTAACCAGCCCCCTTTCGGGAGGCATTGCTTATTCCAACGGGCAAGCCTCCTATAAAACCACTACACGGCTAGATTCCAAATGGATGCCCTTCTCGATTGGGCGTCCAATGGCAAGCCCAAGTAAGATATCAGGAAAGCTCCAATACCAATATCAATATAGTATCATAAATATCACACACCAAGTAACCTCATCCAAAACGTGTTTTCCCAGTTCATCTAAAATAAAAGTGATAAAGACTTAAAGATGATATTTGATGAAGACCTAAAGTAATTGGAAATTTACTTTTTTCTCCAGTACCTGGTCTTACAATAGTTTCAATACATGTCATTCGTCATGTTAACATAGTTATGTGTCACTAGTTTATTCTTTAATTAAACACACATTATTATATCTTCTGAGATAATATTATAGTCTTTCTTCAAATTTTATAAAAACAAGGGGTTACAATTCATGTTAATGGGTCCTTGCATTGTGTCAAAATAAGAGTATTCCATTATATGGGTCAATTCAAACACGAAATATTTATTAAATGGACCAAGCACTGCACACATAAACACAACTCTTTCATTACGGTCCTTAGCATATAACACGACACAATAACCTAAAATAATAAAATTAAATATTAATTTAGAAAAATGATGGAATGACAAAATTTTACAATTGAAATCAGCAATCACACAAAAACATTATGGAATGACTTAATTTTACAATTTAATCAACAAATCACACCAAAAAATAAATATGGAATAACTAAATTTTACAAATTAAATCAACAAATCACACAATTAATTTATGGTATCAGTATAATACTTTCTTAAAATTATATACATTACCTATTATACAGGTTGAAATGGGTTGCAAGTCGGATTTGAATTGACCTAATACCTAGGAAGCACGGACACGCCAAAATACATGTCCAATATTTTATATTTTTTCGAATATCCAGACACGCCGTGAACCAGCATCTGACCCACTGTGGACCCGCTTCCGACACACCATGGATGCGTGTCCGACACGTGTCCTACTCTTTGGGGATTTTTAAGAAAGTTATAGAAACAATGTTGAGTTGAAGTGAAAATATTATGAGTTGTTTAATTACATAATTACTCAAAAACTTGTTGTTTCATATAAAAATTTATATTCAAACAATTAGATATTTATTCTTATATTTTAATTCAAACGTTCGAACCCTTGCACGATCATCTTTGACTCTCTTGTTATCCCACCAACCAAGCTTCGCTACCAGTGAATGGTCTCTCTATCTCTATCTCTTCTTTCCTCTCTTATTCTTCACCCTCCTCTTTTCTGTCTTCTTCTTGTTCTTCACAAACCCTAAATACTTTTTTTTTCCTCTCACAATAAATTTCTCTGTCTCTTTTTCCTTTTTCCTCTATTCCCCATGAGTTTTTTTCTCTTCTATGGATTCTTTACCTTTATTTTTAACCAAGGCCTAATTCTTTTTCTAACAAAACCCTAATCCTCAATCTCCTTGTTTTTTTTTGTTCTCTTTCTTAACCCTCTTTCTATCATTCTCTCTTTTTTCCAGCAAAACACGTTTGTTTTTTTTTTTTTCATTATGAGATTGTAAAAAATATTATTACTCTTAATTGCTTAAAGTACAACATCATATATATAGAAAATATATTTCTTATATGTTTTGTTCCTGCTGTGTCCTAATTTTTTAGGATTTGCCATGTCACCATATCCGTGTCGTGTCGTATCCATATCTCGTATCCGTTTCCGTGCTTCTTAGCCTAATACGATTATGACATAAGTAAATCAGACAAATCAAGTTAAATGAGTCATTTATATAAAATTACTAATATATTTTTTTTTATAAGTAAAAATATATTAGAAAAACGTTCAAAAGGGGAACGTTCAGGTAATATATTAATAAAATTACTAATATATTTTATCTGTATATCAAGCATTTTCCTATGTTTTTATGATCTTATGAAACAATTATACTACTTTAGACGCGTCATCATCCCCTCGTGATGCGTGGAATGAATTTTAAAAAATGCAACCAATTCAGGGTGAAATCTGGGAGCCAAATTAGGTCTTGGCTTGAACCTAGGGCTGCAAATGAGCCGAGCCGAGCCGAGCTGAGCTTGGGTCTGCTCGGGCTCGACTCGTGACGAGCTCAGAAAATTGTGCTCGGGGCTCGGGCTCGTCTTAATTTTAAAAGCTCAGGCTCGGCTCGTTAAATTTTTTTTTTTTTAAATTATTTCTCAAAATTAATTAGTATTCCACAAAAAAAAAAAAAAAAATACAAAATATCATATTAGAGTTTCAGCCCCTTCTTAACCACAGCCAGTTACCAAGGAGCATGTTCCTAGATGGTGAAGTCATCTGTTTGGATTAGTTCTATTGACTTGAATTATTAAAAAAGTTTATTACAGTTAATTAATATAGGCGCTAATTAAAATTAAATAAGTAGACTAAGTTAGTGCTCAATTCTGATTTTCAATCACACTTAAATCGACGAGTCTTTGAAGATCATAGAGTCAATTCTGATTTCCATTCATACTTAATTCACATTTGAATATTTTATAACATAATATTGATAAATATTTGAATTTAAAGATTACAAAATATCTATCTAAGTTGTGTTCAATTCTGATTTCCATTCATACTTAGATCGATGAGTCTTTGAAGATAATAGAGCCAATTATGATTTCCATTCATACTTCATTCATATTTGAATATTTTATAACATAATATAGATAAATATTTGAATTTAAAGACTATAAAATATCTATCTAAGTTGTGCTCAATTTTGATTTTCATTCATACTTAAATTGACGAGTCTTTGAAAATCATAGAGTCAATTTTGATTTCCATTCATACTTAATAAAAACAAAATTGTGGTGTTTAGCTTTAGATCAACATGATAATGATTCTCCAATATTATTTTATTTGATATTATTCTTGTGGTGTTTAGCTTTTGATATGTAAATTATTAATTTAAAATAATTATCATTTCTACCGATAATGATTAAAAAAATTGTAGTATAGTTATTGATTCTGTTAAAATTGTCTTTGATAATCTATTTAGTATATGTATATTAGTAAATATTAATCAATGTTGTACTTTAAAGACACAAAGTGGATTAGTGGTAGCCTGGTAGGAGTGTTAGGAGTTTTTTCATAATGAAGTCTTGAGTTCAAGCTATACTAACTTGCTAAGTCATGTTTTTTAATGTGTCACTTACTATATATTATATTATTATTATATTATATTATTATTAATATATATATATATATATATAGCGAGCCGAGCCCGAGCCTTGTTCACGAGCCTCAACGAGCCTTGCCGAGCCCCTGTTCACAAGCCTGTATGAGCTAAGCCCAACGTTGTTCGGGCTCAGTTCGTTTACTAAACGAGCCTGAAAATTGGGCTCGGGCTCGGCTCATTTACTAGCAAGCCGAGCCCGAGCTGTTCATGAACAGCTCGGTTCATTTGCAGTCCTTCTTGAACCATGGTGTGGGCATAGGCCTCTAGCCAGAGTTTTTTTAAGACTCTACGATATCCCTTGACAGTCATGTCTCGGTTACGGACTGTTACCAGCTTGATAACGGTAGGGCAACTTAGGATGTGCAATTTGAGAGACATCTTCATGATTAGGAGTTGGAGGACATGGTTAAGTTCCAGACGTTGATGGATGGCAAGGGAGGCGGGTGGGGTGGATGAGTGGGTGTGGACTACATCTAGGCATGGCAAGTTTGAGGTGAGATCCTTCGACCAGAGGCTTTTCAATGTTCAAGAGTCAGGAATTCCTTTGAAGGCGATTAGGCATACCTGGGCTCCCCTCAAGGTTTTGGATGGATGGTTATTTTGGGGAGAATCTTGACATTCGACAATCTGGAGAAGAGGTGCCAAATTGTGGTGAATTGGTGTTATATGTAAAAAAAGGATGCGAAGTCAATTGATCATCTTCTGCTTCATTGTGTCGTGGCTAGAGATGTGTTGGAAATTTTCCTTTCCCTTTTTGGAGTAGGATAGGTCTTGCACAATTCCACATTGAGCATGCTTGAGGCTTGGAATGGGTGTATAGTTGGTTAGCTACCCCAAGATGCTTGGAGAGCGACTCCGCTTTGTACATGGTGGGAATTTTGGTTGCAAGGAAATAGGAGATCCTTTGATGGGAAGGAATCCCTATTTGGGTGTCAAAAATGTCCATACTTCGTTCTCTTTTTTGTTGGGTTCAAGGTTAAGATTGCAAATCCTTGGAGGACCACATTGTCTTTGTTGATAGCTTGAGGGTATAGGAGTCTTTTTTGATGGCTGGTACTTCTTGTTTTGTATTTGTTTCCTTGGGCGCGCTCCCCTCCTGAGAACTTTTAATTAAATATTAGTTATTAAAATATATATATATATATATCTCATCCCCCAAATAATATTAAGCCTAAAAATAAAGTACCATTTGATCCAAAAACTAATTCTAGCGCACCTTTTTTTCTTTCGACTGTAGTTTAGACGTCCTCATCCTGTCACCAAATTTCCCAAGGTAGCATATTTGATTCTCCAGAACCCATTTTGATATTCTTTTAGGACATTTGCTCATCCTACCCCGCGTAATGTTAGTTTCATATTTAAGATTCTATCTTATTGCTAGAGAGAGAAAAAGCTCTTCCAAATGGTCATTCAGGCAGTGCTGTACGCTAAATAATTGATAGTTGATGGAACGACAGAGAGAAATCTGAGATACCTGAACAGCTTGCTCAAAAGCACAAGCAACCCCAAGCAAATCTTGAACTTGTTTTATTGCATAGGGGATGGAACGGCAAGTGTCAATTAAGTGAAAGACAGGAAGACAGGAGTCCATGACGATCCTCCATGCATCACCACTGGTTTTAACTGCTGCTTTCTCAAGAACAATATCCAAAGCCAATTCCCCCTTATGACTCTTACAACAATCTTTTTGTATCCAAGTGGATGTGTCAGGACTAATCCAAATTATGTTTGCCGTGCAAACCCGGGGGTCACCTGTACGTACATTAAAGAGAGAGACGGTAAGGATCGACATCAAAGCATAATTCTCTTCTAAAATGTAGCATCTTAGACAATCATTTTCTTGCTTTTTCAATTTCATAATAAAAATTAAAGATACAAAATTGCAGTGTGAAAAAAATATAAGAAACAAGAAACACACTGCGTTCCCACAGAACAGTAAGACAGCAATTGTAGGGGGGGAAAAAAAAAGTACTATAACATGCCTCCTTGAGCCAAGTAGCCGGCCTCCTGGATAGTGTACCTCTAAAAACTGGAGGCCAGTATATAAAGCCCAATTGAGCTGTAAAATCCTACATATATGTTTTCTAAAATGACACAAAAGGTTCACTCACCATCAAATCCAATTTACACTATCTGTTGAGTTGGAGGTGCAGAAGAAAAAACAATGATAATCAACCATATCTGTTTGATGAGTTTATTGCACATTCTAAACCAAAACTTCACCCTTCTTTTATGTAGTAAACAGAGTAATTCTCTAAACAATAAACCAGTCACTTGGTTGGTGCAAACTGGTGTTCTAATAATTCAAGGCACCAGAGTTAAACAGTCACGAGGCCTTGCAATATCTAACTGTTTCTGTTCACTTAATCCACAAATGTTCAGTAAACTGGATTTCGAGAGAAACACTCTCAGAAGTAAGATTTTAATGATATACATGTAATTATCAATATTATAACTAGTCAATGAATCAGTATCACAATAACTAGCATAGTGACTAACACAATATCATCAAGAAAGCTGCACATCGTGTTGGCAATACTTACTCAAACAAGTATGATTTATTTGTAAGGTAGAAGTAGGCAAAAATTGATTCACGGATTCAGATTGAAATAAGAATAGTATGTTGGACCACAGATTTCGAACGGATTAAATTAGGTTCAGCTCGTTTCAGTCCAGGTCAATACAGCATACTTCAGAACATCTCATTCTCTCATGGGTCATGGTCAGATAGAAAACCAATGACCCAAAGAAGAATGTCTTTCTTTAATCATTTATGTAGACTGCCTTTCTAGGGTTTTCATCCTCTAAACCACAGACCATCAATTTTTACTCCTTCCTTTTTTTTTTCTTTTTTTTTTTGATAAATAAAATGTATTAGAAAGCATTCATGAGGGGAATGCATCCCAAGAATAAACAAAAACCAAAGATAAATACAAGAAAGCCAAAATAGAGTCCAACGGACCCAAAGAACCCAAAAAGTCCACTATCTCATCTAGAAATATACAATTTCTTCCCATTACCCAACAAAAAAGGAAACTAAACCACGGACCATCATCCTCTTCTATCCAATAAGTTTCACGAGGTAATGACAGAAGTTCATTTCGTACTTTCATGAATGTCACTTTTGTGGTCCATTGTTCAGGACCTGATTCTGATTGTTAGGCATATGCATTAGTAAAGTGCTACACAAAACTTGTTAATGGAGAATGAGCTATGATTTTCATGGACGAGTTACACTTGTTCCGCCTATACTTTTGGAGAAGGGGCAAAGATAAATGATATTAAGATTTAATATAATTAGGGTAAATTTTTATTTCCTTTTATTATTTTGGCAATGTTTTAATTTTAGGGATATTTTAGTACTTTATTATATAGGGTTTTGTTATGCTTTTGCCTATATAAAGGCTCCTTTGTAATAAGACAAGGGATTTTGAATTATTGAATACTATTGTGAGTTTGTGAACTCCCTCGTGTTCTTGCTTTTCTTGATCCCTCAATCTCTCTAACCCATCTCATTCAATCTTGTCTTCTCACCTCCTTCGTCTAGTCTCATCTCATCTTCTCATTCTCATCCCCTTCTTCTTTTTGGTTACTATTTCTCCTGCATCATTTAGTATCAGAGCAAAAGATCCGAGTTACAGAAGATTCATACCTACTCAACTATTCACGCACAACTAAACCAAACCCAAATAAATCATTGCTCAATATTCCCAAGCCAACCAAAATCAAGCCCTAAACCATCAAACAAAACCTAAGCCTTACCATTCTGCCATCCGACCAAACCCATTATTAAGGCACAAAACCCAAACCGAAACTCTCAACCAACAACAAAACTCTTCGGCCCTAAACCCCATCTATTGTTTCCACAACCCAAAAATTGTTCATGCACAACCAAACAGACCTACCTTCCACCCCAAAACCAAAACCACCAAATACAGCCTCCACCATCTACAACCAAACCAACCCACCATTGAAAACCCTACTCTAGTGAAGCCTAGCCACAAGACCCAACCACAAACCTCCAATTGACAACCAATAGGAACACCAACCCTAAGCGCAAGACTCTGAAAAACAAGCAGTAGCCCCTCATCTGAACCCCAGTGAAAACCATCACAGATCCCCTAGCCATCGAGTGCTTCTTAGCCTACGCCGTCGAACATCCATTGTCTTTGTTTTCGAACAAAACAGCACCTTGCACAGCCTTCGTCGCCACTGTCCTCAATCCTCATACACCATCGGACATCATCGCACCGCCAGTCTCCGTTGTCATCAACTTTGTGAGCATCGACTTGTCATCTTAAAACATTCTGTCGTGTCGATCCCCACAACACCGTTGTCATTTTGCTCTCGCAGTCCATCATCGCGTCGCACAAATCCTAGCGTCGTCACACTGTAGTAGAAGCCTGCAATTTCTTTTGCGTTTGAATTTGTGAAGGGTCAGCTTCTGGTTTATCTTAAAAGCAGATCCGACCCGTAACTGACCAGACTCAGCTCAGAAGACAAAATCAGTTTTGACCCATTCCAAGAAACAGTGTGATCTATTAAACCCGAACCAGCTGGCCCAAAATTAGTCCAGTCCTTAAATTACTTCAGATAAACCTGTTCATGCACGAGTTAAGGATCAGCCCAATTTCAGAGCCAGACCAGCACCAGTTCAGCACCATCCCAGTCTAGTCCAATACAGCAGTGAACCAAAAGAAGAAGAAGAAAAAAAGAAGGAAAAAAAAGAAAAAGAAATCTACTTCAGCTTGTAGAGTCACTTTGGAGCATTCTTTGACTTGGACACCCTCCCTGGACTCGGTAAATGTAACAACCCTTACCCTACCAGACACAATATTGTCCGCTTTTGGCTCCCCTGGACCAGAGACTTCCCAAGGGGTCACCCATCCTGGTATTACTCCAGGTTAAGCACACTTAACTCCGGAGTTCTGGTAGGCCCAAGGCCATCGCGGCTTTAAAACATGTTGTGTTATAGAAAGGTGTTGAATCTACATATAGCATTTCCCATTTCCCAGGCGATATGGGATCATGACACCATGTAGCCTGTTAGTGCTCGCCGACATCACACCCGCCCACAGAGGTTGTCATAGTAAAGGTACACTACTTTTTCGAAAATAGTGAGTAATATTTTTATCTGTTAGCTGGGACAATACAATTTGCAAAAGGTCCTTACTTGAGCTAGAACAATTTTTTGTGTTGATTGGCCTTCTGCTACACCATTCTCTTATTTTGTAATCACCATTTGTGCACCCAATACCTTCTCATCCAATCTGTTGGTTCATACACAATGCATTTCCATTTCTTAGGTTAGCATTGCAGTGATTTATAATTTGGTGGCTAGTGATCATTTAACACACTGTAGTATGCATATAGCTCATATAACCCCCTGGTTCTGAAAACCCCTTAATGTTTATTGTAGGGGCAAATAAGGACCTCCCGTCAATTGGCCATTAATGGGGTGATAAAAATACTAAAATGTCCTTCCTACAATTAAAAACAAAAATAAAAAATAAAAATTCAGTTAATGCAAAATTACTATTATATCCTTTATTTTTTGAGATTTATATACGAAAGGGAATGTCGTTTTGGGAATCAATAAAGGGTAATTTTGTTATTTATTAAATTTAATCAGACATGTGCCAGGCAAATGTTTTTTTAACAATGCATTTGAAACAGTAACAACTGAAAAGTCCTTCTTTACAACATTTTAAAATTTTTTTGGGAGTTATATACCCAAAGTAAAAGAGGGGTGTTATTTGCTCAAAATGTAAACCTTAGGGGTCTTTTAGATACTTAGCCCTAATTTGGTTCACTTAATTAATTTGAGTTCTATATCAGCATTGTCCTGGCAAATGAGAAAAACCAACTTTAGGGAATGTCAAGCCAATAATATTATGAGACCTCCGATTGTTCAACCACATCGAGTTTGAGAATGTAGGCATCCCCCACCTAAGTACTTAGATGTCTTGAATAAAACTAAATCAATCCCTATTTTCTCCAAGTGAAATGACGTCACTATAGGCGATTTCACCCCATTAGGGGCGATTTTTACAGCGATAGAGACTTTGTCTTTTTCTTTCTTCTTTTTTTGTTTTATTCCGCGATGAAATCTTACTTAGAAACTGCAAGGATTCCAAGAATTTCATTAGCTGGGGATGTGAAGTCGGCAGTTCCGCACCAAGGACCATCTTTGTATATCGACGGGAAGTCCGTCGGGGGGAGGAAATCAGTACTCCCATCTTGCTTGGTTGGTCGTTTTGATAAGGAAGTTAGGGGTTGTGATCGTGTGGAGGAAGATGCAGCGAAAGCATGGAATACGTCCTGTGGTGTGGGGGTTACTCCATTATCTGATTCGATGCTTCTTTTCAGGTTTCCTTCTCAGGCCGAAGCCCAACGCGTGTTAAAGGAAGGACGACGTCACTGGGGATCTGCAACTCTACGGATCGATGTGTGGTCTTTTAGGGTTGGATGTTGTGGCGTCCTTAGAGAAAAAGGACTCAAACAGATCCGGATGTTTGGGCTCCCCCTTCATCTATGGTGTCATGCCCTATTTGTTGAAGTAGGGGAGTTATGCGGCGGATTTGTGGGAGCTATTGCCGATGAAACCAGGGATGCCGAGAGTGTTCGTATTACAGTGAGGATAGGATCGACTTGTCCGCAATTTGTGTTTATTAATGATGATACTTTCTGCTACAAGGTGGCGATTTGGGAAGAAATTGCGCCGGTGTTGGTTCCCTCAACAGAGAGTATCG